AGCCCATTATTGAGTAAAGGCAGTTTCCTCGACTAGCGGAACGAACTACGACCTGTACGCTCACCTGAAGCCTTGAGTGACGCACATCTGTTTAGTATCGCTCATATGTCAACATCCATCTCATGCATGCAACTCTGCGTATAGGCCATGTCCCAATTCGATCGACTGTTAATGAGCAAACATGTGGCGAGATCTACTGACATCTCCACTGGTGCGTGGATCTTGGGCTCCATTATGAATGGGGCGTTATTACCTCCATGAGCCAAAGGTTACACAGGATTCTAGTGCATCCCTTTTGTGGTGCATGTAAGCAATTTGCTTGACACAAACAATACTGTAGTGCGCAATCTATGGACAACCTGATTTTCTGGCTGCCTCAAATATTTGTTGAGCCAGTTGTCACCAGGAGACAGCAATAGAACAGGATATTTACATGCAGTCTCCAATGCGATGTTTGTGAACAGTAGGCTACAGATTTCAGTAGTTTCGAACAAAATATTTTTGTCTATTACAGCCTTGTAACAGACGTTCTATTGGGATCATTGTCAGCGCATGTATGAAAATAGCATTGTGTAACAATTTTTATGCGGATTATGGATTACACCGTGGCGAATGAAAAGCACATCGACCGTGCTTCACTCAGCTTAATTCAGTTCATCAGTCATAAACCCTTTGACAAGCGTACATCGGTTCCACCTACTGCAGTTTCGGTCACCGGAAACGGGGGGCTTGAGAGATAATTGGTGCACAGGGGATGATAGCCATAATACAAATCAGAAGGTGTATGCACTAATAAAGGTTTTAGCATGGTTGATAGTGGTGGGTTGTAACACACAATGCGAAAATGGGAGCAAGTCGAAAAAGGGACTTATCGTCTGTGAGAGTCCCTTGGTGAAAGTACGGACGGCGGGAACGTGTTTTTCTTCGCAGAGCGACCGCTACGCATGTTCCATAATCGTCCGTGGACTTGTGGAGAGGTTGATTTCCTGCTCTCTGCGCGCGAGCGAGTCTATGTGCTAACTGCGTTCGGTTTCCCTATATGTAGGTCCATTTGTGCGTACGTGGGCGCGTCAACACATGAGTAGTTGCTGCGCTCGCTAGGCGGTGCAGACAATCGATGTCCGATGAGTCAGCTTAATGTGACGTGTTTTGGAGTATGAAAAAAGACAAGCCTCGTGATCCAGTGAGCGACTGTGAGCTGAACAGTCAAGTATGCGGGCAACCGGGTGGCTACCAGATACAGCCAAGAGTTGGGGGTGATGTCCTAATCAATTAGTTGATGTATATTAATCTGAGGGAACACAGTGAAGACGATAGCTTTGATGCACGGCTGCAACGAAATGCTTGATTATATCATGTCCGCCGGTGTCATTAACCATTGGTGCGCTGAGTCTTGAAGTCTCCATCCAGGGATTCGGCAGTTATGAACTAGACCGAGTTTACCGCTTATGGTTTTCATACTTTGTTGGTAGTTGCTGCTTACCACAGGGCAGGAGAAAATGACCGGCGCGAGACAATGGGTCCTTTGGCGTGTAAAGTACTCATCCTAACCAATGTAACCTGTTGAACGGGATTGTCCTTTCCATCGCGGGAGAGTTCCCTTTTCCTAAAACCACCAGATGTACCCCGGCATTGCTAGTTCAATGTTTCCAACTGACCCAGCCAATGCTTCCGAACACCGATTGTCATATAGTGATAGTTTTCTTACATCCTCTGAGCGTAGAATCAGTGTTTCTGATCCATAAAGCAGTATTAACCGCACTGCCCCAGTGTACACTCTGCCCTTGAGAGACATACCGATGTTGCCCTTTCTTACTCGCGAAACAATCTTGTCTCCCACCTGTCCAGCAGTACCTATACAACTGCCCGGGTAATTAAATTCATCTACAAGGTCGATTGGTTAGTCTGCAAGCATGAGCTTGGGTTTTGTCCCACCCAATCTTGTAGCAGCAATCAGCAATTTAAAATTTGTAGTTTTGAAGCACCTACCGTAAATACTTAGGTTATTTGAAGTAATTCGACCTTTTGGAGGGTCTGAACGGATGAATGCAGTGTCACCCGCATACTCGATGTCTGTGAACCATCGGCCCGGAAGAATTTCGATCCCCAGGGTTTCACAGGCAAGTAGAGAAATTCTAAGCAGCACATTAATATGAAGTTGAAGAGGAATGGTCAAGCACGGCAGCGTCGTCTTACACCACTGGATGTAGTAAACTCGGACGAAAACTAGCTGTTTGCCTGCACGTACCCACAGAAGTTTGAACGCAGTTCCCTCGTAGAGGGTAGAAATTTAGAAAGAACGCCTTTGACCGAAAGACGTCATCAAATTTTCAGACGATTGATGAGGAAAACGACAAACTTGGGTCGTCTAAAGAGTGAAGCTTTCCAAAAACATGTCTTGGAACAAAGATAGAGTCAGTGCCTTACATACCAGAGCGAGTACTAGCTTGATTCTCATGAGTTTGCTTCTACTCTTGTTAATTCATCAGCCTGCTCAAAATTGTGCCCGAGAGCACCTTGGACATGACGGCTACCCGGCTGATGTCACGATGTTCTTCGCGTGAGGTTGCTGCACTATTCTCGAAGATTGGAATCAAACGTGGATTAGTGGAATTCTGTTTTGTTCCAGACCTTCTATTGCAATAGGATAGTCAAACTGCTCAACAAGTGCAAACTATCCCGGTGTCTTGCCGCTTCGGAGGAGTGACATTCCACGGTTCGATCCAATGATATTCGTGTATCATCACCGAGCATCATGCGGGACTCCAGCATAGCTGAGGTTCTGGTAACCATATTGTGTGCTAGATGAAAGATCCGTCACGTAAATTCGGCGTAGTCCCAGACACTGCAAACTCGGAATTAAAAAGAGACAGCATTTCCTTTCCGAAAATGCAACCTTGTCTTAGAGATGGCTGAAAGAATTAGAGAACCTGCGATTGGATTGCACTGATTCACTGTCATATTGGAAGGGTTCGCCAGGTGGACGGTTTTTCCTCCATCTCTATTCAATAACATGAACGTGTTCAAAGTGTTCTGGGCATTGTGCAGCTGAACTTGGCATGCAGTAATGGCTCTTCTTGTCAGTGTTTCGACGTAATACCTCTAAACCATACTGCATACATCCTGTGTTTTTTCGTCACGTTTTTTATCTTGGTAAAAAAGGATTTCAGGTTTGTAGGCTACTTTGTTACCCGTTCAAACTAGTCAGCATTTATTTCGCATCACTAAAACTCTCCATGTCAGTTAAGTACTGATATTTTGCCAGTTTGTCGGGGTAAAATGATGGTGATACTGGTTCAGTGAAATTAGTTTGTTTTACTTAGGTTTTGGGTTTCATGGGCTATCAGCCAGTGTCTTAATATTAATAGCTGACCATATTCAGTAGGCTACTGGTGTGGATGCATTGTGCACACGTCTTGCAACGAACGAATCATCAGTTAATTCTGAAGTGCTTGTGGTGCTTTGTGATCCGGAATTAGTGACAAGTGATTCATCGTTCTTTAGGGAGCAATCACGCAGACCTATCAAGTTCAAATATTTGTCCAGTTTAGTGAGGTGAGGTATTGATGACTCACCTGCACTGTATGTCAGTTTCGATCTCTGTACGTCTGGGAACAGTCGGTAAGTTTGGGCACCAATGACAGCAAAGCGCTCTTCAAATGTGAGCTAAATATCCACAGCAGACAGAGCTGATGAAACGGAAAAGAATGGGTGCATTTCACAATCTTGTGCTTGTTTAGTAGATCAGAAAAGCGGATATGCTATCTGGCTGCTCATAATGGTTTTTGTTCCAACCTCCAAAAAGGTGCTTGGGGTTAGCCGCTTCAGAATGACGAAATTTTCGGAGCACCAGACGAAGTATGGTATAGATACAACATAGATGTTTGATTATTCCTTGTCTGCAAAGTTGACAGAAGCTGGTGACAGTGACGGGGGCGAACGTACATTTCAGTGTTTGACAGGCCGAAATCGAAAAAAAACAGTCGAACAACTCACAGGAGGTCTGGGTTGTCGCAGGTCTACAAAAAGTGACAGGTGTCAGTCATCACGCTGCTTCTTGTTCTCTTCCACGGAGAAGAGCTTGCCAAATCTGAAGTCTAAACTTCTTGGAGTTGTTCGGTTCAGTTTTAGTCAGACGGGAAGGCGAGCAGCCGAAATACCATGAAAGAACTATCCTATTCGTATATTACTTAATAAATTTTGGATAACTATATCTAAGGGCCCCTGATCACCATCAGTGTGCAGTATCTCCAAACAACAAAGTCATCTGAAAATTCAGCATAGTTTTTTGCTTCACTACCCACGAAGGGAAGTTTTTCGCTCTAAAAGTTGGATCACACGTAGTTGCTGAAAATATGTACTCATAATTTATGCTGTTTCGAGAGCGAAGTTCTTCAAGACGAATCAGACTGCTGATGAATACTCCAACCTGTTGTCTTCTATCGAAGAAAACATACCAAGCTGCTCGGGGATAGTGGTGACTCTGAAAGTTCCCATAGTTGTTTTGCAAAACTTATTTGAATTTTTCAGGCTTTCTTATCAGTTTGTGTTCTTTTTGATCGGGAAGCCCAAGATGAATCGATGCTGGGTATAACTCATCTTGCACCGCAGTCGCATCAATCCACAGCGTATTTCGGTACGCCCTTAGTGCTGTTTACCACAAGTGTGGGGTTTTCACATAAATGCAAACACGTGTTTGTCACCAAATGTCACCCAATCCGCGAGAAACTCCATCCGGATACTTTTCAGTATGTTTGTGCCAGCAGAAAAATCAGAAATTTCTTCAAGGTATTTCACATACAGTCTGACGCCCAGTGCTATAAGAACGAACAAATTGCTGAATTAAACGATTCAAGAAAACCAATGGTGCCGAAGTATTGAAGCAATCTCTACTGACCCACATGAATTCAATAGATTAAAGCAACAAATATTGCCCTAATAGTGTTCTGATGAAGCCCTATGCAATTTTGACTCTATTTCTTATCATTTTCCTTGTTTAGGAGGAGGACACTCCATCCATTCGATTATTCCTCTCCTCTCTTACCAGGTGAGCACAGTGAATCAATCGAACTTGGTTTTATTTACCCGCTCATGCGGATCAGATAATCATATGAAAGTCACGTTACCAAAGTGATTTCAACGTACTGTTTACTTGTTCTTAATCTATTTGAAGCGAGAATCCCGCGCATGATATCCCTTAGCTGGAACATCTTCCACATGTCCTAAACTATATGTGCATAGGAGTTGGAACGTTAACTGGATGTTGAATTTGTGCTGCTCGTTACATTCCAAGATACTCCAGTTCGAATAGCAGTTATTTTTTAGTGGTCTTCTCCATAAGTACATGGTGTTTTCAGATCTGTGGAGCATTTCCTGTAAGACTATCACGGAGCTGGTGTGAATGCAGACTTTCCTACAGTCTATGGGTCTTCCGTGACCCAAATTATTTGTTAGAGAACTGTTGGTTATTGACAGGTATCACTGTGCTAACTATGAAGTTTTCAGTCTTTGTAAGCGTATACCTTTACAAAATGTTGGGAAATCGGGGGTCCGAGTAAAGTCTTATGCTTTATAGGGGTATCTGCTATTCGAGGTTCGAACAGTTTCGCATATAAAGTTTTTTTCTCAGTACAGGAGCATTCGTCTATGCGAACAATGTATTCATATTACAACTGTTAGGTCAAAATATGTTCTACCTCAAATATTGTGTCATGCCTGCAGTATTTTTCCATCATCAAGGCCGGAAATCTATAAAATAACGAAATACAGTCAGGATTCTGTTTTTTCGTGATATCACAACAAACCTTTGCCAACCTTATGCACAATCAAGCAGCTTAACATAAAGTGTTACTCGGGATTTACAGGAATCACGACGAGTAACATATCTTTCTTGTTAGAACGAACTGAGTGAATTTAAATTTGACGACTAATCTTTCTGCTTATGCTATTGACGAATTTTATACCGACGTGAGGGACAGAATCAACTAGGAAAGTTTAAGCTGGCCGTGATGCTATTGTTTAGAGTTAGTTTATATCACATGGGCAGCAAAGATCTGCACAATCAGGTTAGCGAAAATAGCAGAAGTCCTCATTTGTTACAGTCCAGTTATCTGAAGAACCGCAGTCATTAAGATAAGGTGATAGAATCAACGTTTTGGTAACCGACGGTCAACTGTATCAAGAAGAACTGATCGAAAGTTGTCTACGTAGATAAAGCGGGGAAATAATGTTTGACCAAATATCCATGTCATGATTAAAGTTCATGGCCACGGATATCACGTGTGATCAACATGCCAAATAAAGCTGATTTGGTTAAAAAGGTGGTGACTCACAACTAATTTATCCCACTATGACTGATGCACTGTATTCGTAGGCTAATCGTGAAATCCTTGGTTTTATAGGTAACGCGTTTAGTCCGCATTAAAGGAAGCAAGTTTTTTTTTAAATATTTACCTGAGGATACTCTGACTGATTGATGGTTAAGCAATTTTGTAATTTTTAGAGCAGTTGAGCATGCTAGGTTAAATCGGTGGGATTCTTCGTGTGATAAGATTTCTAGAGTTTTGACCTATGTAGATGGCCGGTCAACCTGAGCATTGCTCCGCTTACACCTAATTAATCATTTCATCTTTAGAGGTTCATTCTTCAGCTCGTCCAACAACGTCCATACCAACATGATGTTCACCACCTGTGATACCGCTGAATGGCATAGTTGTGCGAAATCTCCCAATTGGTGCTTGTGGGCCAACAGACGTTCTAGATGTAGCACTAATTATGGGAACGTGGACGTGGGGTGTGACACAACTCACGTCTTTGCAGCCCACCCTTTCCATTGGAATTTGGAAGAGTGGAACAACTTCATCGGTTGTGGCGAACTTAGTCCAGCTACCCGTCTGGGTTTGTTGGTTTATGGAACCTGGCTATCACGAAAGTCAGGAGGATCTAAGTAAACTTGTCAAATTTACCTGATTACTTTGAGACCTACCACCTGACTGTTAAATTCAAGTGAGGACCCAATGGATAAAACGAATACATCTGGTAAAAATAGTCCCAAGTATGCATGATGGCAGTTGGTTCATAAAGTTTATCATGGTTACTGTCCTGACAAATCTCAAAGTGAATGAGCATGTCCTGCTCAAGAATTTTAGTGTGGTATGCAAATGATCACCAAGAATAATTACATAGGAAATAAGACTATCTGTGGTATCTACGGCTAAAGAAGCCTTTCTCGTTCGCTTTCACGAATGCTATTTATTTGAGTCTTCTGAATAACCTTTGCATCTGGTCCTTTCACAATGAACTTGTTACTCGTATGGCCTGATTACTCAGGATAATCATGAGTCGTTGAATCGAAATCCAACGAAATGGAGAGTATTAGGCTATACCTCTGGTTTGTTGTCAAAAGTTCATGCTAACAAGAAGAACTGTCGACCGGAACTTTCAGGGTAGGTTTCAGGTTGATCCACTAGTGAGGATCTTTCAGATGTAATGTGAATCAGTAATGCGTAACACCAGCCCCTAGCTTGTTCATTCACTCGTTGGCATCTTTGACGAAACTCCTCACACCTGTTTTACCATGAACTTAGCTGAGATATGTAGGAAATGCTTAAGTGCCAGTGGTACTAAAATTTTCAGTTCCTGTGGTTCAGGTGGGGGGAGGAGGTTTTGTTGATTCTTTCTCGTAAGAGAGATAAATGGGTTTTAGGAATTTCAGGAATTGACAAAAACAGGAATTATTCATTTGGAGGGAATACTAATGGCTCAGCTGAACAGACTAAAAGGGATAATGCTCTTGAAACGCTGCGTATAAATCCTGATGATGGTAAACCCGAATAGATGTGGGGGACATGACGAAAGGAACAAAGACAGCGAATGGTACAGAATCCAATTCACTCTGGAACTTCCGTGACAATCGAAATCAATCGTTGAAAATTTCAGGTTGAAACATAAGTAAAGTGAGTGTATTCACAAAACTTCATCCTAACAGATGAAGAGAGGAACACAGGACCCCTGATTTTGAAACTCGAAGAATCATAGAGATGAATTACTGAACGTCATGGGCGGTGCCGAAATTTAAACATAAACAGTCTAGGGCATCCTTTATCTACTGGCTTGGAGGAATGTAACTCAATATAGACCCGTATGAAAAACCTATCTAGACCGCTTTTATTTCAGCAACGTTTGTTTTCCTCTGATGTAGTCATTTATGCTCTCATTGGTCAGTTCCCACGTCCACCATGTGAATTCAGTGAATCGTGAGTGTTTACATTCACTGATGTTAGCATCTGACGGACTTATCAACTGTTCCATCAGCGAAGGACAATCACTGACGAACATGGAGGTAGGTTGCGTTTGTTTTCTATAAATCGATCAGGACCTGTCTATCGCGGTATGGTTCGATTGATTCAATCCGTTGCACGCGCTTGTGTGTTTTTAAACGTTTGTTTTCTTCTTTCCCACGGGAATCGTGTTGCCGTTTCGTACTTCGCCGCACCAGACTAATTTGCAGTATGTGGTTAAAACTAGGTCCGCCAAGAAGCATTCAGCTTTCTGAAGGTTTTTTTTATCATTTCTCCTAGATACACATGGACAACATAGTCTGATTTCTACCGAACAACTATTCGTTTTTTTTGCGTAAACGGTGAATCCAAAGCGGAAGTAGCTTCAGGTGAAGAATGCTTTCATGGGGAAGATAATGTGATCAGAAAATAACGTGATTAATAGCATATCCTCTGTATGTGTGAGTACCTCCTGGTCGATATGTAAGCCTGGTGTTGAGGCAATGTTGCTCGAAATATTTTGTAAATGTGGTCGCTACCCACTAGGTAGTTTATAATTTGCCCTAGGCCTTCGGAGTAGGCAAGTAAGCTGGGTTTAGAAGGGCAGTTAGCATCTGAATTACAACAAAATGTAGAGTGCAGATCCATCGGAATAAGTCCGAAGCTAATTTAATATCAGATAGGTGGAGGGAGGCTTTCGGGGATATTTTGATGGCTATCTTGTGTTACTGTAACGATGTCTGCCTCGTGCTGTCTAATTTTTATTCATGGCAAACAACTGAAATCTGCTAATCTTACTGAGTTTGAAAACACATCCTGGACAAAAGCCATCGGCGGAGGACGAAGAGAACGCATGTCAGTCCTTAGTTTCTTACTCATTTGTTGACTCAGGAAATCCAAAACATGAATTTCAGAGAAGATATATCACCAGCTGTTTTAACAAAATAATTCCATACTTTGTAAGCAGTGAGAAGATGTTACAGCTTCAATTAAGGTTTCAGAATACATGTGAGGCTGTTCTGGGTTGAATAGCTGAGAAACTCAAAGGCCGTTGAAACAATTAGTGATTTGCGTCTAACGAGTAGAACCCACAACACATCTGTAATGACTGGCTCTCTGAGTGACGACTCTTCTGAAGGAAGACCTATACGTCCTAAGATATTTCGGTTCGAAAAAGATAACTTAATGTTTGTAGGTAGTAAGGAGACTTCGAAGTCCAAATTTGATTTGGTCACTCTCCAGGGCCGTCAAGTGTGACAGAATTGTATAGAGTTAAACTGGCAAGTACGAAGACGGTCATTCCAATCTCTTCTGAGTTTCTTCATTTCCCGCTACTGGTTGTTCCGGTCGAAGATTAAGCATCTGTATACTGTCTCTTGGATCTGCAGCACACACTGACTTAATTTCATACTAGTAACGCCTCATTCAACTCCAAACTCTTCTCACTGTCAACAAGCTTTCTTTGCATTTCGACTGTTTGGCTAGTGAGTATCTTAGACTTTCTCATCTACATTCATATTGTCTGTTTACTAACTGCATTGGTGTCTAATTTCTTGTAGCTAACATATTTCACTGAGTTTTTGTGTCAGAAATTGTTTTTGACTTCGTGTTGATTATTTCGACAAACTTTCAGCCCCAGTAACATTTAGACACATGATGTTCCACTTGTTCTGCTGTCATCAGTGGTTAAAAATGCAAGCGCTAACTAAAACCAGAGTAACTTACGCTGGTTCAATGGAGTATAGCCAGCATAAAAATTTCATCCTGTCTTCCTCATATGGTATTTTTGTTCAGTCTGTCGGCCAGGAAAGTGGTAGGCCTAGGAGGTTTGTTAATCACCTCTAGCCAAACCCGTTCTTTGAATTCCAGAAGTCTTTTATCTTACTAGTAATCACAGGTTCATTGATTTCCTCACTTCATCTTCTGACCGAATCAGCCGGTTTTGCATAGCCCAGTCAGTTGATTCACGTCTAATTATTGTTTGACTATGTATGCTGGAAAGTAAAGTTTGCATCTGGCCGGTTTAGAATTGCATGCTGCTGGTCCAGATGGTTCACGTTTCACTGTAGTGGCCAAATAGCCAAAGATTAGGGGGCCAAAATCACTGTCATGTTGGCAAGATAAAGACCATTTTGGCTTCGTGATAGAGATATATCGGATTGGTAATGTTTTAGAATATTGGTAGAATGGTGACGAAACGTTTGCAAATCAATTGCCAAGCTCGGCGAACAGATCAACAGCCACCTGATCAATTACCAATGTGTCGGATTTCTAACTACTGATTAGTTGCATCGGTCGCCTGAAAAAGTGTCTTGCTTTGTCTGGGACACATATCCCAGTTATTCATTATTCACACAATTACCAGAATAGTTATGCTATTAGAACGTTGACCAATCATACACATACCTGGTAATCATTGAAAACATCCTAAAGAATAGACGTCAACTAGTGTGGAACTCCTTCATTTCACCAGTGATTAGTCCAAGTCTTTTTATGTAAAGCGTGTTTTCCTATAGTATTCTGAAGTCGCGACAGTTGAGGACGCACCTTGTTAGTACTTTTGCTTTTATTTTTAGGTATTCATTTCTGTGCTTCAATGAATGATTCTTTTTTTCAGCTGAAACTAAACAGAGCCGACCAGCCATAACTGCATCAATTTTACTGACAAATTTATTATTTATATCCACACGTCCTTGAGGGCGACGTATTATTTGTCAGAACAGTATGGTCTGTGGAGTACTGTGGTGACAAATGATCATCTGCGTTCAGTCCTGCTTAGGAAACCATGCCAAGTCTGATAGGTTGGAGAGTCAAACGGACGCTGAAACAAATTTGGCGTATACGTTGATAACCAGCATATGTTTTAGCTATACGCATACATTGACGTTGACTACTTTGGTCATTGACGGAGCGATATCCCAGCATCACCGAATTTTGATTGTGCTAAGAGGTTCAGTTTGTTGTTTAGCTGGATACGGTCTCTATGATTGGCCTGGATGGCCTACGGATGTTGATATTTGTGCATTCTGGCTGAAAATTCAAAATTGTTTGTTAGCCTGCTTCTCGGACATGTGGCATGAGTGTGACAAACATAAGGTAAATCAGTGGAACGATGAGCTCGTGCAGTGGATTTGTTCAGTATGAAAGACAGAGTTAAAAATATTCTGATGCCTCTGTCTCTGCGCCTTTGTTGGGAGTGGTTTTTCAACAACAAGCATTCCCGATTGAATTTGAAAAGTTCCGTTGAAAATGTCACTATCAAGGGAAGTGGTTGTTATAATGAGGTGGATATATCAAGGAGAAGGAATTGCACTGCTTCGCGAACGTGAAAAAAAGTAGAGAAACTAAGAGAAACTAAGTGGGTGCTTTATAATTTTCAAAATACCGTGCACTTTATCATTCTGCTTTTCAAAAGCATAAACTTCGGTCGGTGTTGTGCGTGTGTTGTACTCCAACGAGCAATACTGCTCTTCATTCCGGTGTTAAATTTCGTAGGTGAGTAAATATTAACCAAAAGGGTCTCCATTGATCATCACTGTTTATTAGCTGAGAGTCAACTGGTTAATTTTGCTTAATAATATCTGAATTCAAACGTTTGGGATCATACAAGCCACTGTTGAGGAACCTCCTATAGTATAGAAGTGTCTGCTTCCTCGAAAAGGAGACACACTAGAAGAAAATCCGTAGAAACTAGTTCGTATTCTTGGTGGTGCTTTGAACTAGGAGGTTCTTTCGGCCTACTGGATATACTGTACAACCGTTACAATAATTTCGACTCTCTTCATGGTAATTTTTGTATTTGTGATTTGTCGTATTGGTATACTAGTATTGGAAGATCTAGAAAGTTTGATTATTCGAGTAAGCCACTTAATGACCAGACCTGACACGTTGACCATAAATTTGCTTCCCGGTGAACGACAATCGCCGATAAGAGGATTGCTGGTAATATGCAGTCGTTTTCGGGGGGTCACCAGCGCAAGAGTGAGCAATGGCATTTTACTTGGGAAGACCCGACTGACAGGCGCACCATTTGAGCTGCCAAGGTTTCCGCACACCACCGATATGAATAGATTGAAGAGTCCTTATGAATGGTTGTGGACCTCCACCGTAGCGATTACAGCAATGGCTGTCCCACGCCAATGTGAATTATTGCGAAAGATTTTTGCAGTGAGCACCTTCGGTTACCCACAAGGCTATCCAACCACAATCTCCCCAATGTATTCTCTGTAAACTGACAGTTTGACCACCAGGTGTATACCAAATTTCTGCTAGTATTGTTGTCAAGTTCGAAAACTGTGCATAAGTTAAGTGCCAACAATGATGCGCGAATTTGTTCACGCGCTGTCCAAAGTTCAAGCAGATGAGAGGTTGTTTTGTTTTCAGCTTTTCGTCTTGTTTGATACCACCGATGATCTTTAAATTTTGGGTACCGGACATGTAGTATGCCCTTAATATTATCAATTCCAGGACTCTGGAGGCTTCACAAGGAGGAGTTTACAACATTTCGTTGCATGTCCACAAGATGGCACGAAATGTCATCCAATTATTGCCCGTAATAATTGTGCTTACAAAACAGGGCCACATCAAAAGCAGAATCACAGTCTCTAACAAAACTGAGGAACGCTCAACACTTTCAATTTCGCCGTTACAAACAGAGATTGAGCAATGTGCCAGATCACATGAGAAATCTTGAAACATCAAGAAAGTGTTGTCAACATAGCGCTCTCAAATAGGTGCTGGCTGTGGGGAACGATTTATCATCTGTTCTCTAGTTGCTTGATAAGAATATTCATCACTTTTGACACCCAAAACTACTTCTTCGTTTAGGGTCTGCTTGACTGTCAATTAGGTTCGGTGTAGGTACTGATATAGCTTCAGTAGGTGATACTGGCATGCACTGACAAGTTGTGCTGAATACGGTATTTGAGGTACAGAATGCTGGATGTCGGTTTCGAGGAATAACTAGTAAAAGGAGGCCTTTGCTGTGGAGCTATTTAATGGGAAACACCAACTGAACAATTACAGACTGTTGGACAAGGAAGCAAAACTCTTGTTTATAAAA